GGCTTTTACCTGGGTGCTGGGGATCTGAACTCAGTTCTTCATGTTTGTACAGTGAGCTATATTTTTCTTACCACGCGAGCATATGAATGTGTGAACCCCACAAAGAACTTATGGTGATGTCCCATCTTATGGTTGGTTTCAATGTCAACTTGCCACAAATTAGGAAAGAACCCAAATTCGGAGGGGCATTTCAGAAGGAAGGTCATGCTGCCTTTTGTTTGGGTGACCTCCCCTCTTGCCTCAGAGAAGTGTGTGTAGAACCAGTAGAATCAGCGTTCCCAAGCTTTCCTTGCAGAGTAGGACAATAGTTCTCCCAGAACCTTTTGGATCCCAGCGCCTGTTACGAGCAGTTTTACCGCCAGCCTGGTCCCACAGCCACATCAGCCCCTAAAAAGACATAACAGATATAAAGCTGTAGGCCTGTTACTAGAGTTTATTATTGGCTAGTTCTGTCTTAAATATTAACCCATTTCTATCAATCTAAGTGTTTCCGCGTGGTCTTATCTTACCAGAGAGAGGGACCGGACCTTCTTGGGTCCCTACATCTTGAATCTCCTACTACATCTCCCAGAATCCTCCTTATCTCTTAGTCCCACCTATCTTGCCTTCCTGTTTGCCAACAATGCTTTATTCATTAATCAATAAGAGAAACATATTTACAGAATGACATCTCCCATCATTTCTTTTCTGTCTAAAAAAAGAAGGTTTTTAACTTTAACATAGTAAAATATATAACAAAACAGTTATCAAATAAAAACTATAGTTAACAACATTTAGTCCATTAACATTTAGCAAGATTTAAAGAAAATATTTTATCATCTATCCTATCTTTGAGTGTCTAAAGTCTTATATGTAACTTATCTTTAATCCTAACTAAGGAAAATTATAACCCTAACTATATGTCTTTAACTCCATCAAAGACCAAAGACAGATAATATATAAACTCTAGAAATGACAGAGACATCTTGTTACCTCGTCAGTCACCTGAAGTTCTCCTGTAATGTTTTATCTTCAGCCTATAGGCCATAGTGTGTCTGGCAGACTCCTCATCAAAGCAGGAAACTTTAAACTGTCCACCTGTGTTTCTCTTATTGGTTAATGACTAAATTCTTGTTGGCCAATAGGAGAGCAAGATAGGTGGGGCGAGGAGACAAGGAAGATTCCAGAATAGATAGAGGAGGAGGAGAGTCTACATGTAGGACAGAGAGAGCAGAACTCCAGACCATCTCTCCGGTAAGATAAGGCCACGTGAAAATACTTAAATTGATAGAAATGGGTTAATATTTAAGACAGAGCTAGCCAATAAGAAACACTAGTAACATGCTAACAGCTTTATATCTAATACAGCATCTCTGTGTGTTATTTGGGGCTGGCGCAGCTGTGGGACCAGGCTGATAGAAACCTACTGGTAACAAAATGGCACTCAATGCGGGGGCCCAAAAACTTTCACTTAAAACTTGACAAAAGCTTAAAAAGGGTTTTTAAAAACAAAAGAACAAAGACTAACAAGACTTCTTAGTAACATCATTTTTCTCAATTGGGCTCTGTTTTGCTGGAGACAAATAGATTTACATGGCTTCTCTAAGGGAGGTTTCCTGACTCAACATAGCGACAAAACACACACACACACACACACACACACACACACACACACACACACTGCTTTTAAGAAGCGCTGCTAACAATTCAATGGTGTTTATGAACAGCTGATTTAAAAGAGAAAAAATGAAAAAATAGAAAGAGAGTAGCTGGGACATTGGTGGCATATGCCTTTAATTCCACCACTCGGGAGACAGAGGCAAGCAGATCTCTGTAATTTCAAAGTGAACCTGGTATTCAGTGTAAATTCCAGGGCAGCCAAATTTACACAGAGAAACCCTGTCTCAAAAAAAGAAAAAAAGAAAAATAGAAGAAATAGAGTAATAAAAAAGCCATGTGAAGCACAAAAAGAGTCTGGATACTGTGTGTTATGGTATTGTCTTTAAATTGCTCAATTGCTAAGGAAGAAAAAAATTGCTACAATACACTTGATTATCAATGCTGCTAAATTAATCCAAATTATATATTTTACAAATGCTTTGACTTCAAAATTTAAGTCTAAGGACAGGTTACTGGGGAAAAGAATTTCTATTTTTGTTTCTGCAGAAAACGAAAAGCTGTGGATTCCTTCCAGATTAACATGGTTTGATCAAGCAAGATCCCCCTGAAGCATTGTCCCAGGTGGTCTAACAGTCAAAACAGCTGGGACAGAGCAGTCTTGCAGACAACTACAGCCAGGGTTTCTGTGTCTTCTTAGGATCCCCCATGACAGAGCCCCCCTACCAGCAGGAAGCAGTTTGGAAAGAACAATGCCCAAATGCCCAAATATACTTTACAAATGTTTGTTTTCATTTAAATGGGCTTGTTTATAAATGGTTAATGATCACAACCAATCTCTTTTTAAAGGTAAAAAAAGGGAATTATGGTATAGAAATGTATACTTTGTTTTGGAATGGATTTTCATTTATTGATACAAATTTAAGGTCAATTTTATGATATATATTTCTCTTCTTGTTTAGGTATTGTGTTTATATAGCTCATTTAAAAATATATAATTTCATACAGATTTTAAATAGTTACCTATAATAGTCAAAACTTTAGTTAGGTTTTACCTATAATAGTTAAAACTTATAGTTGTTAGTTAGGATTTCTGGATATACAGAGATGTATTTGAGATGAATAGGCATTCTTCAAACCTTTCAAAGACCTGCAGAATATGGCATTTAAAATTGTTTAGGGTTTTTCTTAACAGTGATACATAACTGCTCCTGGCAACACTACCTGCATCAAAAACGAAGATGGACATCAAAGAAACTCATTATGGAGTTTACTTTCAATATGATAAGACTAGCCATTTGGGAATGCCATCCCTCTAGTGTCTTTGTGATTCTATTACTATTTTTTTAGTTGTCACTTGAGGATACAACATGCATTCTACCTAAATGTTACCGTCAACTTTGGGTTATAAATGCCTAGACTGGTAAAGCATCGCTTCTGATCTAATGTGTGCTTTAATTCACCAGTGGATTCAATGCAGTTCCTGCTGGCACAGAACTCATTACATAAACAAGTCTGACCTCAAATTCACAACAATTCTCCTGCCTCAGCCTTCTACATTCAACTCAGATTCAACTTTTAAATAGTCTATTGGGAGGTGGTGGAACTCTCCGTTTGGTTGGAGGAAGTGGGTGGATAGGGTTTTGTCCCTGGCAGTTACATCTTGCCCTGACCTCTTGCTATCATAGCCCTCTTTCAGATTTCTCCAGGACATGCTTCCTCCACCAGGATGTTCTACCCAGTGTGTCTACCCAGTGTGTGGGGCCATGTGAACATGGACCAAACCCTCTGAGACCATGAGCTGAAATAAGTAATTCCTCCAATTAGGCTGTTCTTGGTATTTTGTTGATAGACACAAGTGACTTTCAAGCCCCTGTCACTTATCAACTGAGTGCCCGCTCTGTGATGGCTACTGTGCAAAAGGAAATCAGTCTTTACCAGGTGACACAAAGCTTACAGTAAGCAGGGGCAGAGTAGGCTACTAGGGCTCTAGACAGAGGGATATCTTCTCCTATTCCCAAAGCACAGTTTTCTTAGAGCTAAGTTCTTACACAGCCAGATGAACTGAGCACTTAGCAGCTGGGCTTCCCTAGCCCATGAGGCACCTCCCAGGATGGCTGCCCAGTGGAGTAGCTTTCCAGAAGTTTCTCAGCAGTTCACTTCCTGGCCTTCTCGAGAATGAGAGGCAAGTCAGACCCTATGTGGGATTGCCTTTCTCTTTAGATGTTAGCAGCAGGGAAGGGCTCAGATCCAGACATGTTTTTAACGGTGCAGACAATTGGGTCTGCCAACAGAGTAGGTGTGAGAATGACAGACAAAGGCAACTTTCAGGGCAGCTATGAGATACCAGGCAAGGAGAGAGCAGGTGCTGCTGGGAGTATACAGGACAATCGATCAGGGAGTGATGAGACAGGAATAAGGGACGTTGGCTGAGTGAAATGTAGTGTATGGGAGGGGGACAGTTCTCTAAACAAAACAGGCAGCCGTTGTTCCCACAGAGGAGTGGATGGAGCTGGACACTGAACCCTCACCTAGATTCCAGCTTCCTCTGCCAGCTATTTGTATATAATTCTGCTCTAATTGCACCCTGCCTTTGGGTCTGCTTACAGAGGAGGACGAAGGCTAGGGAAAGGGGGACACATGGGAGACCCCATGCAGCTCTTCACCATGCTGGGTGAAAACTTTTTAGTATGGCTGTTTTAGGGTCTCCTGTGACCATGTAAGAAGATCCCGTAAGTAAAGCCACTGACTCACTGGTTCCTGTCGCTGGAGTTATCTTTCCAGCCTGGTCCTGTCACCGCTTCAGCCCCAAATAGGCACACAGAGACATGTATTAATTTATAATCTGTTGGCTGATGGCTGGGGATCGACTTCTTATTGACTAGCTCTGTCTTCCTATAAATCTGTGTATTTCCACCAGAGAATGCCTGGACCTGTTATTCCTTTGGTGACTACACGGCATCCCCTTGTAGCGCCTCTCTGCCTACCTTTCCCAGAATTTTCCTCATCTCCCAGTCCCACCTATTGTCCTGCTCCTATTGGCCACAGTGTTTTATTTATCAACCAATAAGAGAAAAATGTATACAAAGGGACATCCCTCATTAGGTCCCTTCAGTGAAGTCAGTGGAATGCTACTTTGGTTTGTCATTGGGGCATTATAAGAGGGCTCACCATTGTTTGTCTCCAGGGAGAAGGAAGTTTCACGCCAGAGGGCTTAGGGAAGAGAGCCAAAATGACCTTGAAAGTACTGTTTCTAAGAGTTCATAGGAAAACAAGTCCTTTTATTCCAAGTTACAGATCTTAGTCTAGTGTGATGACGCCTAGAACTTAGCACTTGGAAGACTGAACCAGGATTGCGGAATTTGAGATCAGCCTGGGCTACAAGTGAGAAAACAAATTTCTACTTTAAAATAATCTTTTATTTGCCCATCATATACATTTGAACATCTATTTTCATGAACAATACATTATCTTCGCAGTAACTGAATAATTTATAGTATAAATCACAAAGTTCAATTTCTGACTTCCAAGCATTTTTCCTAGTGTGATATAAACAAGAACAGTCTACCATTTGTGTTGTTGAATTTTGTGAGGAGACAGTCAGTCTTCTATTGATTAGAGTTAGGAAACTATTTTGAGGTCACATTCAAGAGGTAGGTGACAGTCAGAAAGTATACTTGATTGTACTGTCAGTGGGTAAAGGAGTATTAGAAAAACAACATGTAAAGTAGAACCTTTGGGTATCAATTACTGTTTCTTACAAATCAATTAGTACATCTTAAATAATCATAAAGATTGTTTTTTTTTTTATCAAAAATAGACAGAAAATAACCCACAGGCAATTTAGTTGCCTATTTTAAACATTGAAACAATATTTTTAAAAGTTCTAAAAGAAGTCTTTTTTGTGGGTTTATGATGTTTTATTTTGAAGACATAGATTCTTATTTTCTATTAATTTTTAAAGTGCTTTCTTTGTAAGATTATTAATGAATGTTGTACCATCCCTCAATCAAGGATCTGTTTAACTATCAGAACTCCCAGGCTCCATTAACTGACAGATTTCATAACAGAGTTGGTCATTTCAGTTCCAGTGAGATGGGACCTCTCAGGGCAGCTCCCAGGCCTGTGTCTGGTAAATAGATGATGCTGAAAACTCTCTCTGAAAGAAGTCTTCATGATGCTGCCTGGAGGATTAATCTGTCAAAGAACAAAAGAGCCATTTTTCATCCTTTTTAAATTCCAGTAGCCTTTCCTCCTGCCCATGTCCTTCTAGTCTCCCATCCTCTCCTCCATTTTCCCCCTAGCCTACCATCCCTTCTTTTTCTCCCTTCCTTTTTGCTGTTGGAGTCTCATGGCTTTTCTCCTTCCTGTACCTTCTATGTTTGGTCAAACATTTCCTTTTGTTTAGCTTTATTTTCCATTCAGAACTCCTTGTTAGTTTTTCTTGGTTCTTCTTGCACAGGAGTCATGGTGGGATGAGTAAGGGATGTATAGGGTCTCGTGTACTCTAAGCACATGCTGTACTACCAAGCCACATCTCCAACCTCAATAAAATAGCTTTGAGTCAGTCTATACAGTGATCCACAAATGGCAGATATCTGAGCATCTCTCAAATGTAGTGTCCATTGTTGATGTAAATATGCTGTCTTTGGTATAAACTGCTGGGTTCAAGGTGTAAGAGCAAATACTTGAATTTTGGGCATTGCTTGCCATCTCTCAATAAAAGATACTACCAATGAATAACATCAGTTGTGGGTGTGTCTATGAGAGTGCTTTCAGAAAAGTTCAACTGATCAGGAAAGACCTGCCTTAAATGTGAGGAGCATCATCCTATGGGTTGTGGGTGTTTCTATGAGAGTGCTTCCAGAAAGATTCAACTGAGCAAGAAAGACCTGCCTTGAATGTGGGGAGCATCATCCTATGTGCTGGGGTCCTAGATTGAATAAAAGGAGAAAGTGAGCAAAACACAAGCATTCCTCTCCCCTGACCCCTGCTTCCTGGCTGGGAACATAATATGAATATAATAGGACCAGCCAGCCACTGTTCCAACTGCCATGACTTCCCTACCGTTACTGTCTACCCCCCCCCGAAACTTTGAGCTGAAATAAACCCTCCCATCTTTCACTTGCTTTTGTCAATGACTTTCTCACAGCTATGAGAAAAGTAGCAATACATGGTATGTGTCTCATTACAAAAACTTTCTATTTTCCTCCTTGCGTTGGTGTACATGGTTCTTCTTCGGCTCAAGCTATGCTGTTAGTTAGGGTAGATTGTAACCCTGGAATGTGGACTGCAGTGAGGCTGTTTCCAACTCCCTGTGACTTACCCAGTATCTTGGGAGTCACATGGCTCTCCTGAGCAGGGCATGAGGTTGGCATGATTACTATTGATTGTCCACCTGCCATGTGCCTGTCACTCTTCCAGATATGCCTCACACTGTGGCAGCCCTGTGCAGTGCATGCTATTTTTGTGTCACTTCTCAGATGAAACCTGTGTGCTATATATGCCTACAGTCATACAGCACACAACAAGTATGAGGTATTGACAACTATACTTTATTACCGCCTCGATGTACTGGTTGGTTTTTGCCAACTTGACACAAATGTAGACATATCTGGGAAGAAGGGATCTCATCAAATCATCCTGTGGACATGGCTGTAGGGCATTTTCTTGATTAATGATTGGTGTAAGAGGTCTCAGCCCACTTTGGGTGGTGCCACTGCTAGGAAGTGGTCCTGGGGTGTTTAAGAAAGCAGGCAGAACAAGCCATGGAGAGCAAGCAATTAATCAGTGTCCCTCCATGACCTCTGTTTCAGTTTCTGCTTCCAGGTTCCTGCCTTGACTTCCTTTTATGAAGGCAAGGACCATAAGCTGTAAGATGAAACAAACCCTTTCCTCCCAGGTTGCTTTTGGTCATGGAGTTTATCATGGCAGAGAAAAGCAAACTAGCATCCCCGGTAAGTCAACTTTCAGTGCATTCAAAGGTTTGGTCCACACTGCCTGAGCCTTTGCTCTACCTCTTCCAGCCACTTACACATCCACACCTTGAACTTGTCTTTCAGAACTGCTCCATCACTCAGGCCTTCATGCTGTCTACTGGCTCCAAAGCTCCTGCTTTCACTACTGTGGAGCTGAGCCCTCTTGGCTCCCTGCATTGTCCTCGTCCCTTCTTCCACCCTGGGAGGTCACACCATTGCTTACACTCACTTTGCCTTCTTCTGCCTTCTGACTTCACCCATCCTTTCCTACCTGCCATCCTGCCCCCTTTTTTAGAACCTGTTCAAAAGCTAGCTTTAATGTTTTACTTCCCCCACAGTGCTGGAGATCAAACCCAGAGCCCGAGTATGCTAAGCAAGCACTCCACAGTTGAGCCTCACCAGCCCCTGGTTCTTTGACACAGTGTTACTTCTTACAGGTCCTCCTGCATCTGCTCTCCCAGTCTCCCAGCCCTTGGCCCTGTGCTCCCCCTGCTCATCTCAAAGCAGTCTTTCTCAGCTCAGCATTCCCAGCACTCACAGTACAGTGTTTGGATTTTCTGTGCCTCCTCGTATACTCACAACTGAGAAGACCCAGCCCAATGCCGTGTGTAAACTATGACATGAAACATGATGTGACATAAAGGCTGTTCTAATTTGATTCTTACTCTGACTGGAGAAGACAATGGCAATTTTTTTTTAAGATTATTTATTATGTATACAATGTTCAGCCTGCATGTATGCCCGTATGCCAGAAGAGGGCACCATAACTCATATGGTTGCTAAGACTTGAACTCAGGACCTCTGGAAGAGGAGCCAGTGCTCTTCTGAGCCATCTCTCCAGCTCACTGATGCCTGTTTTAAGAGGCAAGCTACACTGATTGTATGAAACAAAATGTGTTCTTTCCTCTTTGAGTGTACATTACCTATAAAACTATGGGGGGTGCTGTGCTGCATAGTACTAGGGCTATTATACAGTGTTGTCTCCTTTTACACATATGTGCTTGATCTTGTATGTGCATGCGCCAGAGGTTTTCCTCAAGAGACGTCGCCTTGTTTTGAGACTGGATGGTTCATTGGTTGCAGCCTGCTGATTTGGTTAGGCTGGGTGGGCAGTTAGTCCTAGAGTTCTGACTGTCTTCATCTCTCTAGCACTGGAATTGCAAGCAGGCTCCACCAAGCCTGCCTTTTTATGTGGGTGCTGGGGATTAACTCAGTTCTCAGACCTATGTGGCATTTTGCTAACTGGGTCATACTTTCAAGAAATAGAATATGTACTGGGAGGAACAACTATTTGTAAGGAGTAAGGTTTTTCCTCCCTCTGCTGGTCTTGTCCCGCTGCCGCACCAGCCCTAAATAATACATCGAGACTCTGTATTTGATATAATGCTGTTGGCCAGGTACTAGTTTCTTATTGGCTAGTTCTATCTTAAGTATTAATCCATTTGTGTTAATCTATGTATTTCCACGTGGTTTCACCTTATAATAACACATATAATAACTATGAAGGGGTAGTTACTGGTGAAATAAATAAGTATAAATGCAGGAGCCAAGAAAATGGCCACTTCCATAGCATGTGGTCCTTTAGGTCAAATGTAGACAGGAAGAAGCTTTAACGCAGCTAAGAGACCTTCTGCCTGGTTGTGGAAAGGGCAAATCTGACTCCTGCCACAAAATCTGATGTCAGGCTCCATCTTGCCCACTGCTTTAGTGATTCTCTTGCCCAGTTTCATTGCTGCTTCTCCTTGGGTGCTCAGAATTTCTTTCTGAAACAGGGTCTGCTTTCCGTAGCAGACTGTCACGTCCCCCCTTCTCAGGAGTCTTTGGACTTTGAGGATGCCTCTCACTAGTTGTCTTACGTACTTATTTTATGTCTCAGTATTTTCATCTAATCTCTTTTGCGTGATCCCCTGTAAGTCAGGTTTCCTGGAATTAGGTGAAAAGGTGAACACCACAGGATACATGGCTAGATGCCCACCAGCCCGACAAGGTGCTTACCTGGACATGGCAGGTCCGCTCTAATCACAGTGCATCAGGAATAACTTCCAGTTGGGTGGTGTTAGAGGGAGTTTTATCTGAAAATGATTCCAAAACCTGCAAGTGACAAAGCAGAGAGAGACAAGCTTCAAATGTCGATGCCTCTTGCTTGGCTATGATTTCTTTGGTGCTGGGTCTCGGTGTCGCTCTGCAGTCTCAGTTGCTGGTGCATCTGAGAGTTCTCAGAGTCCCTTAAAACATGATGGCCATCGGTCTTTCTGCGGTATGCCTCCCTTTAAGGATTTCTCATTAATGAAAGTTACATTCATACAAGATACACAAAAGCACATCAGGGTGGACATTGGTGAAGGTGGCCACATCCCTTTGGATATAGGATGGTGAACCTGCTTCCTGAAGAATGAATGGTCTGGCTGGCTGGCTGGCAAACTGGAGTCACTAACAGCAAACCCAAGAGTTCACCTAAGGAAAGCACAGAGACGATGCCAGAGATGCAGAAATGATTCATCCAAACACTGTTTCAAATGGTGAAAAGTTAGGAAGGGCTCAGTGGCTAAAGACTGTTAAATGAGGTCTGGATCCTGGTGTGGCATCAGCTAGGCAGGCATTAAAATGACCAGTGAGAAACTATAGAGTGATGTGGGAAACAACAAATGGCCATGCAGTTACAAGAATGAGGCCAGCATCATCCACATTGGAAAAAAATCACAGTGTGATTGGAAACACAAAAAGAATGGTTAACTAGATACCAAGGACAAATTGTTCCATCGGAGTGAGGAGTACTTCTTGTATTAATTTTTTTTTGTATTTTAAACTATCTTTTTCAAATTTTCAATAGATAGTATGTATTATTTTCATGATAAAAATAATTACCAGACCCTGTTTTAAGAGCAACAATTTAAATGGCTTCTCAAAACTCATGAGAGCATCCTTTACACTCACGACTTTTGTTCTTAAAACACACTATAGGCCAGACATGGCAAAAGGTCATGCCTGTAATCCTGGCACTTGAGAGGCAAGAGGGCCACCAATTCAAGGTTATTATCAGCTACATAGTGAGTTTGAATCCAGCCTAGGCTGTGATATTCTGTCTCAATTCCTACAAAATAAAACCAAAACAATAAAACCAACTGAACAATAGTGCTGACAAGATAGGGTCAGCCTCCAATATCTGACTCCAAGATGAATTATTTTTCTACAGAAGTGACATTTCCCAGAAGTTGCCACACCCTCTCTTTTTCCCCCCAGAGTAAGAAGCCGGGTGTAGACACAGCAGGCACTTGGCAGCTGGTTTTGCTCAAGAACACTGACCTCCTCTCACTTGGGCCTCAAGGTGACTAAAGCAGCATGTGAGGCTGGCACCACTGCCTTCACTCTGTGTCTGCCTCCTTCACTACAGCTCAGGCTCCAGCTTGGCTCTGCACAGCCATGTTAATGGCTAAGGTCTATCTACCTGACCAGTTCACCCTACTTCAAGGCTGAAGACACAAAGATAACTCACTGCCCTGAACTGTGGTCACTTTGGATTCCAGAAAGAGCAAAGCCCTTCAGAACACACCTCCATACCTCACCGTGAAGGCAACAGTCCTTTTAGGAGGTGAGGCTGTCCCTGGAACAGAAGTGACTGTCCTGAAGGAACTGGTTCATTCTCTGAAGTGATGGCAGTAATAAAGACTTATGCCAACCATGCCACAGAACAGAAGCAGAGCTGAGGTAAGGTCCCAGGCAGACCATTGTGCGGCCTGGGCTGCCTGACCATGCACACGTTCACCCTACTAATCCTCCCCCTATTAAAAGCTAAAACTCCTGACAGTATCCTGAACATGGATTCGAGTCACTGTCCCCTTCAACTGCTTTTCTTTATGCAGTTACTCTAAGTGTTCATTGACCTCCACATGCACACCACACACACACACACACACACACACACACACACACACACACACGCGTGTTCACAAAGGACATTCTGACTCCTTGCCATTAATGAGCATATTGAGACGGCGGTTTGGGGGTACAAGGGTGGAAGGGATGTGGGGCAGCACTGGTTACATGGGTTCTGGTGAAAATGAACAAAACTCAGATATCCCAACTGCAAAAGAAAGAAGATAGGGAAAAAACAAAAAACAAAAAACAAACAAACAAAAACAAAAAAAACACTTCTGGGTTGTAGCTGGAATATTCTAGATGAAGTTGCAGAACATCTATATAGGTGTGACACTGAAATACTGTGGCAACATCCTCCCAACAATGTGTGACATGTTCTTGAAGACAAATGTGTCTACAGAATTGTGGGTACGCACAGAAATAGACCAGGAAGACACAAGCCCTTTTATCAACAGTCACCCAGAGAGAGGGTGGAGGGAAGGGCAGGAAATGGGTTTCTTAGAAGGGACTAGTGAAACATAACGGTTATAACAGACACATGTTTTAAGACATTAACGAGGGAGGGGGGCTCAGCGTGTGGGAAGCTGAGCCAGGAGGATCATGATAAGTTTAGGACAGCTTAGGCTGTGCAGTGAGTAGTGGGTTGATCTGGGCTCTAGAGTGAGGACCTATCTCAACCAACGAAACCAAGAAAACCAAAATTATAAAGAAAATAAGTAAAAAATAAATTTAATGACTATAATTGTGACCCATCAGTTAGAGGGCTTTCCTTACACATTCTAATGTTTAAATTCTGTTCTAATTAGTTTATTGTGGGGGTGTCTTAATGTGTGTGAATGCTTGCATGCGTGCATGTGGTGGTCAGAGAACAACTTTTACTCATCATCTCTCTCCTTTCCATGTTTGGGTCCCCCGGGATAGAACTCAGGTCAGCAGGCTCAACAAAAGGAACCTTTACCACTGAACCATAGCTGCCTCCCAGGTGGTTTAAATAATAGAACTTTAAAAATTAAATGTGTGCATCTTATCAGAGGATCAGTGGTGATGATAAGACTTTCTCTTTACTGATCTTGTACATCTAAAGGCAGAAAATTGTTCTTTCTGAGTTTCCAAATATGACCTTAAATATATACACAGTTTATAAGTATAAGCAAACACAAACATAGGGCCGTTCCTATAAACTACCTACTCCCTGAAACACTGAGCTCAAGTTTCTTGTTACAGTGTAGAGTTAGACATGGCAGCACATTCCTGTAATCGCAGCCTATGGGAGAGGGTGAAGTGGAGAGTTCAGCCTGGGCTACAGAATGACACCTTGTCTTGAAAACACAGGGGGAAAGGATGGAGCCTCTCTTATCTGTGCAAACCAGGAACACAGAGAGCCACTGACTCCACTTCCTCTACTCCTGCCCCTCCCCACCCCTCACCACCAAGCCGCATGCCCTTCCCCCTGCCATGGCCCCCAATGCCCTCATGCTTCCCAACCCCCATGGCTCCAGGGCATCAAAGAACTGGCAGGCTTACAGATGGTGGTATATGTCAGGATCCCGCTGCAACCGGGTCTGGAAGCCAATGTATAGGTCATCCCACAGCAGGCCGTGCTTCACCACGTACCTGATGACGTCCACACGGCTACGGATCTGAAATGGTAACACAGACACTCTCAGGATGGTCCTGGTGTATACCAGCTCATCCTCTCATGCCCTTAGGAGAAGTAGCTACCAGTGCTGGCAGAGGGAAATGAAGGAGAAAAGCCTGGATGCCATCACAGGTTGACGACAGGAGGGAGCAGGGAGCATAGGAATGGAGGGGAGGAAGGCAGGGCACACACAGAAGGTGGAGCACGGGGATGGAGGGGAGAGAGGAAGGGGGCACATAGATCAGAAGATGGGCCAGCTGGAATCCAGAGTCTAGCTATAAGACTGAGTAATAAAATGAAGGTTAAAAGGTGACCTTTCCCGTAGGAATCTGATGAGAAACAAGTGCATCTATGTTTCTTAAAACATAAACTTAAAATGAGATGATTATACAGCAAGAGCTCAATAAATGATACTGTGACCACCATTCCAAAAGCAGCGTGTGTGCCTCCTCCTGAAACTCAGAGGCTGGCCAGTGTGGTGAGATTTGTTTATGATCTAACCAATAAAGCTTGCCTGAAGATCAGAGTGCAAAGCTAGCCATGCTAGTTAGCCATAGAGACCAGGCAGTGGTGGCCACACCTTTAATGTCAGCACTCAGGAGACTGAGGAAGATAGATCTCTTATAGTTCAAGGCCACCTTGAACTACACAAAATTGATCCAGTCTAAAAGAGAAACAGAGCCCGCACAAAAGTGATCTCAGCACTTGGGATCCCATACCTTTAATTCGAGCACTAGAGAGGAATATAAGGCTGGAGGAGACAGAAGTCTGAGGTTTGGTGGAGACAGACGCAGTCTGGAGATGTAGGACAGGATGCCCCTTTGGTCTGAGCATTGGTAGGGAACTCATGCTACAGGCCAGAGACTCAGAGCTCATGACAGCATGTGTGTGTCCAGGCACCAATGAGCAAGACTGCCTTAAATCAGGTGGTTGAAGGTTAAGGAATCCCTACACGGATACTGGAGTTGGTGGACAATAGGACACAGGGCTAGAGGCAAGCAAAAATGGCTTTGGTCTCAGTTTTGTGTTGACTGGCTCTGTGATCTGAAATTTTCTAGGCATCCCCACCCACTCTGTCTGTCTGTCCGTCTGTCAGTCTAATTCTCTCTCTCTCTCTCTCTCTCTCTCTCTCTCTCTCTCCCTCTCCCTCTCTGGGTGTGTGTGTGTCTGTGTGTCTCTGTGTGTTTCCTCTTTTTTGTTGTTTACCTGCCAGGGCCTCACTATGTAGGCCAGGATTGCTTCAAATCCATCACCCCCATGCTTTAGTCTGCAGCTAGATTTATAGGTGTGTGCCACCAGGGTGTTCTCTATTACTCAGGATTGGTGATGAGAGTGGGGGACACAAAAAGGGATTTATATAAACACAAAGTGCATGATGTTGGCATGATTTCAAGCCCAGCTTTTTAAACTGTAAGCTAGGACTCCTTACATAACTGGGTGTAGGTGTTGTGAAAAACTTGACAACACTAAAATGTTTCTGAGTGTGCAATGAACAAAACTTAAGTAAAAATCAAATACAACCAATCTAAGGCATTTCTGCCTGCACTTGCCTGAGCTCCATTATGTGACTTCATTGTAGCCTTGGTTCTGAACACATTGCATGTGAACCTTGCAAAAAGCATGCTACCACCACACAAAGCCCACAAGCACTTCTGTTCAGATTGGAGACTAAGGTGTATTTTGGTTCGATGACATTGCAACATAGAATGGAACAAGCCATGACATCTGTGTAGTGAGATATCCACCGCATCCACACCTGTTGCACTGACCATGCCCACTGGGGCGTCGGCACAAGTGTGGACATGATAGGAGAAGCTAGGTCAGGGGTCCCGGACCCCAGCTTGCTTTTGGTCATAATATTTGCAAAATGTTTGCAACTGTACTTGGTACAGAACAACTTACTGGAATTTGAAGCCGGAGGATAGCTTGAGCTCAAGATTTTGAGATAAGTTTGAATAAGTATGGGAATAAAGAAAGGGGTGATTACAAGGTCACATGTGAAAACTTAGTTTTCTAAAATTCACAAATTGGACAGTGTAAGTTTTGCTGAAGTTGTAACATAACATAAAATTCAACTCAGCTCACTAAAAGGCAGCTTGTTAGCACATGCCTTTAATCCCAATACTGGGTAGGAAGAGGCAGGCGGATCTCTGAGGTCATCCTGGTCTAGATAGAGAATTCCCAGCGACTATGATACAGTGAGACCCTATGACAAAGAGAAACAGAGAGACCTAGACAGACACAGAGAGAGACAGAAAGAGCAGAGAGAGAGAGAGAGAGAGAGAGAGAGATAGGCAGAAAGACAGAGACAGATGGGGGTGGTGGTGGGGAACAGGATAGAACCACAGAGAGGTGTCACAGAGAGGTGCCATCGTGTCTAGGACATGGAGGTCTTGCTTCACTCTCCAATTAGGCACTTACACACTTCAGTGGCACCAGCGGTAATCTCAAAGGCAGGAAGAAGACCCTGGAACTATGGTGTGTGTAATCTGTGGAGTCAAAGTTGCAATGCATGCTCGCATGTATCATCGCCTATGCCCAACCCAGCAGTCTGGTAGGCTGGGATAAATCCTACACAAGGACAGGGATCAAGGTTCAGACAGGTCAAACAACTCAATTGAAGTTTCACAGTAACCATTTGTGTCCAACAGTGATGGAGACCAGTTTTAATCTTGACCTGTCTCCAAAGCCAAGGATCTTCCCTGGACATCGTATGACCATGTCAAGGGATTTGCTGGTAACTCGAGCCTAGTAAAGCATGCCATGTCCATATTGACTCAACTCCCTTCCCAGAGACACCCACTGAGCCCCCTGAGAATCTGACTTGAACCTCTGCTGTTGTAGGCTAAACTTCCTCCTCACTGGGAATCCAATGCCCAGGGAAGGGGAAGGCTGAAGCCCTGGTGTCTTGGAGGGATTTGCCTTGCGCAGACTCCATACAGTTCTGACAGCTGAAGTGAACATGCACACATTCTTGCTTGGTCTCATGGTCTATATAATAAAACGGTGCTACTGCTAAGAAAAGGCGCTCATTGGCTCATTTTCTGTCAATTTGTTTTCTAATTCTTTTTATGGTGCTAAGGGTTAAATGAATCTAGGTCAATGGGCAACAACTTTGGAGAAGCCAACCAGAAGGCAAATGTGTAGTGCATTGACCCCCTGGCAAGAGGGAGGTGGCTTCCCAGCAGAGAGCTTGCCTCATTCTCTGACCTTTGGGTGCCAGTTGCCTGTGAACACATATTGATGAGCTGATAGAGAAAAAGGGGTTTTGGATTCTGACCTTGCTTGTCAAGAATGTTCCATTTGTTGGGTTTTATGGTATATGGTATTCCTGAGGCACTTTCAGTGTTTGGTCCTAGTTTTGTTTTGTATTCTTGTTATTGATTTGAAAAAGAAAAGGGGGAGGGGGACATTTCAAAGAACTTACTTTGAAGGGGCTCTGTTGAGTCATTTGCATTGGTTGTGTGGTTGTGGGGCTCAAACTGTTTGGCAATGCTAGCTGTTTGCTTTTGTGTGCAGCCTGGTTTGACAGTTACCTTTAGACTCTGGCTTACTCCTTAGCTCCGTATTTGAAGTGTATAAACTATTTGGGCTCATCTCGAGTCCCAGGGCTGTGCCATGCGATGGGATGAATTATGTCTGCCGCCTAAGGCTTAAGTAGCTCCCGGAGTGAACCTGGAGTGAACCTTTGCTGTGGAATAAAGATCAAGATTCCTAGAAACACATCTGCTCTCACTGGAACTTAAGTAAACTTTGCAGGCCTGAGAAATGGCCATTCTTCATTATTTTGGAGGCCCCCTAGGGAGAATCCCTGCTGACTAGTCCTTTTGGGCTTCCACAGTACACTCTGGATTAATAGAACCTTTAATGTGTCATTTTGTATATTAGTCTGTGTTTCTGAAAATTGGCTTGGAGGGGTCATTGAAAATGTCCTGCTGTAGCAAAAGTCTCATTACAGATAATCTATTTGAGGTTCTGCTGGACATTGAAGATACCCTGAAGGACTCAGGGAGAAAAAAAGCCCCCTCAGTATAAGAGCTGTAAAAGGCTGATTGACTGAATAAAACTCCATGATGATGACCTTGGGCTGTCTTCAGCTCCTTTAATAGCCACCATTGCCCATCTTTGTGCCTGAGTCAACATTCTTTTGTCTATCAGACAAAACCTTTGGAAGGCATTAACTTAAGACGGTGAGTTTCCATTAACCCAAAATCTAAGAATGTCATCAGATAGTCCCTGAAGTCTATAGCAGAGCAGTCCATGCTTTGCTGTGACTTGCCTGCCTGATGCTCCCTTTGGGAAACCCCTTGAGTTAAGACTTTAATTTATTCTGAAATTAAACACTTCATAAATCATCTCTACATTGTAGTGTGTCATTTGTAACAATCGGTATTCGTGTTCCCAGGCCATGGTGACTCATGTTTGGCTCAAGGATAAATCATGCCTTACAAGTTTTGAGCAATGCTTCTGAGTCAACAGATGGGGAGGAGGGGAGGAGGGAAGAACAAGTGATAATGACAGGAGAAGAGGGGAGGAGAAGGAGAGCGGGAAGATGCCAAGGAAGAGGAAGACAAAGGAAGAGGAAGGGACGCCTCCAGGGGAGCTGCTCACTTCTTCATAGGGATGCTCCCTGCTTGGTCTTTCTTTTGGAAAAGACAAATCTAGAAAGTCCACCAGATAGTCGTACCCTCCAGGAAAAGGGTTGAAGTCTTCATCCGTTTCAATCATCTGTACAAATAACAAGCAGGTAAACAGAAGAGAATTCATCAGTTCTTAAGAAATTCTAAAAATGTGGAAGTCTTAAACACTCCCCCTCTTTCCCTCCCTCCTTCCACTATTTCAGTCTCCCTCTCAAAGTGGTAGCATTACACTCTTCATCTTCTATGTCAGCAAAACCACTTCCTCTCACTATTCTAATTCCAGTGGCATAGACCATTATCAGCACTGCAAGCTTCCAGATGGGGACCATACAATGTGGACACTATACCTCATACCACACAGCAGCTAAACAGAAATGCATTCACTGGGCCAGCGAGGCAACACAGCAGGTAAAGGTGCCTGCCACCAAGGCTGACCACATGAGTCCAATGGCTACAACCCACACGGTGAAGGAGGGGACTTATTCCCACAAATAAGTTACCCTCTGACCTCCACACACTCAATACAACACACACACACACACACACACACACACAATAAATAAATATATAAATGTAATTTTAAAATTTAAAGTAACAAATTTGTTAAAAGTTCTAAAATTTTCATTTCCAAGTTTATTACCCAAGTAAAAGATGATTCAGTTTCCCCAGAGCTTTGGGTTTCAAAGATGATTTCCTCAAAAATAGCTGAGAGCTAATGTAAATACATTTTATAATATTTTTAAAAAATGGTCTTAGACCCGTTATTCTTTTATGTCATTGAAAGAAGAATGTTTTAATGTCCCAAATATAGTTACCTAATCTTGAAATAATTCATCCTGAGAGGGGCTCAGAGCCACTGTCTTTCATCAACATACATGCTTACAATATGTTTAGTTCACAGTTAAACAGGGGAAAAAATTGCCACAGACTGGCACAAAAAAAAAAAATCATGGTTCTGGAGAACCATGATTTTGAGTACAGCAAGTATGACCTGGTATTGATGTTCATGGCTGGACCGTAAGCTGGGGAGTGGTCCTCTCCAGAGAGCAGCCAGAACCTGTTGGTGATTTGAGTGCTGCCCTGCATCCTAGTGTCATCCGAGACTGCTCCTTGTACAAACCCAGGCATTTAATGTAAGGCAGGTGTGGCTAGTGACCCACTACCCTGACCTCTGGCTCACCCCAGGCCTCTTCTTCCTATTGCACCCCCTATCTGCTAGGTTAGATTTTTGTAATTCCAGGAACTGAAGTCAGGGTCTCCAGCATCCAAGGCATGCACTGTACCACAGAGCTGCCTCTCCAGCCAACTCTGCTCTGAGCACACCTCCTGCAGTGGTGAGCAGCTTCTGGATTGTTGTTCTATGTATGCATGCTGGGCCTGTTCCTGTTTAGCACCACACCTGTCCCTGCTTTGTGCCCTTTGGTCCACAGCACCGTTACCAATAACTGGTTCTGTCTCACACTAATGGAGGTGGGTGGATTCCACCTTCTAGCCTCACAGTTAAGCATTCCTGGCGTGCCAGACAAAGTAAAATACAGTCACAGGGGAGTGGGGTGGAGAGGGTAATAAAGCACATGTGAGGGGGACCCCCAAGGGCAGAAAAGTACAGAGGACAGGCTTCCAGGAGATGGAGGGCACCTAAGCAAACCAAAGTGTAGATGAAAAGGTTACAAGGACACTTATTGCTTTTTTATATAATGGTTTAAGCTTTTCGTCCTTCCTTCCTTCCTTCCTTCCTTCCTTCCTTCCTTCTTTTCTTTCATTCATGAGACAAGAGAGAAAAATACTGCAAAAGTCAAACTGAGCCAGACTTAATGGCCCCTTCAGTTTCAAAGGGGAGTTGCTCATCACAAAGTTCCTCCATTCCAAATGCTGACTAGAAACCAAACTGGAAACTAGGGGACTTCAAAGATCTCCTGATTACAAGAGGGCAGAGGAGCAGAGGCAGAGACTATTTAGGCATACCCTGACCACCAGGTTGTAACTCTTAAATCCAGCCCAAGTGAAGTACTCTTTTATCCAGGATGAGTGAAGGAAGATTTCATCTCCTACAGCAGAGTGCAAGGTACTCAGGTATGGGCCGAAGTCCCAGGAATCCTTGTAAATTTTTGTCCCTTCTGGAGGCTCCACAATGCCCTGGCTTAAAGACACAAAGAGAAGGAGGGTCAGAGAAGTGGCTAAGGAAGGTAAGGAAGGCAAAACTGATGCTTTGAGAAAAATTACACCAGAGGAGTAGTTTCAAGATGTGTGACTGACTCATAGGGCCCAACCTAGCCCAAGCCATACCATTTCCCATTCACTACTTAATGGGCAGGGTTCCCATGTCAGATTTCATTGACAAATCTTGTGTATGTCTGTAGATACAAAGCTGCAAGATCCCTGATCTGAACTCTTGCTCCAGATGACTAAGTGATGGATGTGTTGAGTGTGACCTGTTTGTATTGGCTTTGTGGTGTGGTCATAGCTGCCTCTTCATCCCTACCACAATAGGCATCTGGTGACAGCAGCACAGGGAATTGAATTGTTTCCTGATGGAAGTGGAGGCTCCTAAAACTCATGAAGCTAACAAAACTCAAAGGCTAAACAAGACTCCTTCCCCAAGCTATGTAAGGCATCTTAGCAGCTGGGGAGAGGACACACTCCTGTGGAGCTGCCCACAGGTTGGTCTAGGAGTTCCAGGGCTGCAGCTCTCATGAGTGGAACTGTAACAGGTTGGGACTTCCTCCAATGAGCTACTGACATGTCTATAAGTGACCCCCATGAACTCCTAGCTCACCAAGTTACACTTGGGTGGAACAGACTCTTTGGTCTGTTAATGGTGTCATTCTGGGTTGAATAAATCTTTGTTCATATCTCCAGGAAAAGTCTGGCTATGTGGTACCCAGTAAATATTTGAGCATATAAACTTCAGCCTATAGGATTTTGTGCCTCTGATCTACCAAGCTCTATCTGTTAATCAAACTCCGGTTTTCAGACGGATGTGTAATTTTTTCTTTAAAAACCCTGTTAGTAGTATACACACTCCTAAAGCCCTGCTTATCCTGGGGCAGTAGATCACTGCATGGAAAATGGAACTCTTGGATTGAGAAAGTAATAGGATGGGAACTTAACAAGGAAAAGATCCAAGGAGGCAAATATTCCATCTAGCAAATGTTTGGAGGCAATAGTGTCTTCTCAAAGCCTCACTTTGAAGTCCATCAAAAGTATATCACTTCTGAAATACATCCCCAGTCTTGTCTATCTCCTTGCCTGGTATCAGTTTATGTCTCACCGATCTTTTCCTGAGAAGCCATAACTTCCCCTTTCCCAGCCTCCTTGACTCCAGGGTTCTAGCTCTAGCTTCCCTGGGAGAGCATTCCCGTCTACACAGCAGAACTGGGTTTCTGAAAGCACAGTTCAGTAAGATCCTTCTCTTGCTTTGTCCTTTTCTATGGCTCTCCTTATTCAGAGGACAGGTTCCTTGCCCGGTATAGGAGGCCATGCAGACTCGGGCCTCCACATGGCATTCTTGGGTCTTTCTTTCCTTGGGCTTTCACTCAGCAGCTTTCAATTCAGGGCTTGGGGGGGGGGGTGTTCAAAAAGGACCAAGGTTTCTTCCTGGCTGTATCCTCTGGACCTCTGCTTCCCAATATCAGAATGTTTTAATGAATACTTTGTGAATCAATGGCATATGTGTACGCGCTTCTCCTTTAGTCTCCAAACCCAGGGTTCTATGCCCAGTCCTTTTCCAGCTAGGCTGTTGTATCTGACTATAAATTTTTAGTCTCTTTTTTTTTCTCCCCTCCTTTCTCCTATCTTCTATTTGCTTCCCTCCTTTTTCTTTCTTTTCTGTACTTGCTACTATCTCCTCATTCCTAAGACATGGCAAAATGCTGACTATTTGGGCCTGAGCTTCTGTGACCACAGTCCTGGGTTCCCTGTCCCCTCTTCCTTTACAAGGCAGTTAAGAGTAATGTCCTTACTATATGTTACCACAAAAATGCAACCATCCTGACTCGTTTCCCAGAAGGCTTTGGTGTGATCCTGCCTCAGATCTACTGCATCCTGAGTATCTCTGAGGGGAGCCCAGATGTACATTTATCAAGGGTGCTGGTGACTCTGATGTCTGTGACAGCAAAGACACTTGCTCTAGGACACATTGAGAGGGAGTCCTGCACAAGGATGATTCTGGAGACCTTAGGAAGATGTCAAAAGAGGAAGGCAGGCTCTTGAAGGATGGGTAGTAACTGAAATAATCAAGAAACATTTTCATTCTCCAGCTAGGCATATGTCCTTTTCCATACTCATCAAGTGGGAACGCTCAGGGAATTTTAAGTTTCACAATTTAGAGAGATTGGCTTGTTAGCAACAAAGAGAGGGGTTTCCAATATTTTGCCTGTAATTCCTGTAAGAACTATTTTGTGTGGAGGTGGGTTGGGGACGCAAGATCTCACTCTGTAACCCTGAAACAAACCAGGCTGACCTTGAACTCATGACAATCCTCCTGCTTCCTCACATGCTGGGATTACAGGCCATCACTCCCACCCAAGAACTGTCTCCATCAGGTTGCAAAGTTATTCCAGAAACAAAACCTTTACTATGGGCAAATGCAGAGGTTTTATTCCTACTGGTGAACTTCGCTTTTTAATGAAAATATTGGTTACAACCAATGGCCTTGGTTTGATGGGCAGAGAGTAGATTGTGACCTGCATGTTGAAAAGCACTAGCACGGGGGAAGGATTGTAAGGAGGGCCATAAGCACAAACCAGGGGACTACACGCCCCTGAGTGAGTAGTGGAGCTGAGAGCAGGGAAGGGAAGGCTGAGCCGGGGAGCAATTGTGAAAGTCTGTGAAGGAGAGCTGAGCAGGCTCTAGTCACATTTGGGAAGTCAGCAAAGGGCAACACCAGCTTCTCTGCTGCTCACTTCCTACAGTATGTGTTTCTACATTTGGGTGGGAACTCTATGACACGTGGCTCAGGACATGTACTTATGAAACTACAGGCCTCTGGAGCCCATGTTAACTCTTTGGAATTGGATTTCTGATATTTTGAATGTGCTGCTAATTTTATAGGCCATGCTGGCACTGGCATGAAAGCTAACTTTTTGAGTCTGTTGGCAGTTGAGCTGCGGACCTCTGTAGTAGCAGCCTGTGCGTTTAACGGCTGAGCCATCTCTCCAGCCTCTTACCCTTTACTCTCTAGTAAGACCCTGAGGTGATGAAAGTGCTTGAGCCAGGCTGAGATGCTTCAGAACCTTGTCTGATTTGAGTGATAATTGCCAGTCTATTTTATGTACATAGTGAAAGTCATGTTTATTTTTCTCCAGTCAGGGTCTCAAATAGTGCAGTCTGGCCTAATCCTCCAAAGTGCTGGGATTGCAGGTGTGTGGCACTCTACCTGGCTCTAGTATTTCTACTTTTTAAAGTGAGACGCAGATCTTAAGGTAAGCTTGGCACATTAATTGACAAAAGTTAACGTCACTTCAGAATAGGCACCCACTGAGAGTTGGGAGCTTTTTATCACAATATTAAAAACATTATATAAGGTATTTTTTTTTTAATCCCCAAACCTGTCTGTTGGGTCCTTCAGCATCCTGCCTAGGTCAAGGGTTGCTCCAGGTCGTGGGGTCCATGTCACCACATCACAGTTTTTCTTGATGAGATTGTTGAGTTGATTCGGGTCATTTTTGACATTTGTTTCCTTAATGTACCTAAGAAATAAGAACATTCCCGAACAAGAGAGTTGATTCTCCAGGAGTGTGGCATGGACAGTGAACATTTTGGTTTACTCTTTATTCCTACTTCCCAATCCCCTTCCACACACAACTAGGAAAAATAAAGGCCACATTAGGGCTAATATCCCTAGCCAGTCAAGGAAGTTGTTCTTTGTGTGTGTGTGGTGATCAGAATTAAGTTAGCAGAACCATGAGTGACTATTATAGATAGGTAGCAACTGCACACTCATACTGAATGTCAACTGAAATGAAGACTGATCGGCTATTATTTGGCAGGCATTATGCTAAGTGCTGGACACGAGATAGTCCACTTTGTCTTGCGGTGTCTCACAAAATTGCTGCTATCACTGTTTTCATTTCCTAGAGATGGAATCAAAGGCTGCACATCACATGGCCTGCATGGGCTCGGACTGCAGACGGGTTCCAGGGCCTCTCTCTAGCTTTCAGAATAAAATCTGGAAAGACTCTACATTCAAAACCATTAAACTGTACCTGTTATCCTCAGGGCTGGCTGGCCAGTCCAGCAATGACAGATCCTGTCTCAAAAACACACTCACGGTTGACCTCTCACATTCACAGTCATGTGCAGGCACATGCAGCGTCACACATGTGTGCACACACAGAAAGAAGAGGGGGCGGGAGAAAAGGGGAAACAAGAAACTGTTTGAAAATCTACTCTTTACAAAAGAGCACATATCCTCGGTCATACTCCTTCCTCAGGTCTGCTTCCTCTTTCTTTTCTTTTCTCGTGCATGAATGGTAAAGCTCTACCACTGTGCTACGTCCTCAGCTCAAGTTCTAGAATAGAATTTAATTATGTTATTAATTAAAGCTGGGCATCATCCAAATCAAATTCCACACTACCACCTTTCTAAAAAAAAACTGTAGCTTGTCAATTTCCATATCATACTGACATTGGCAGTTGGGACAGAAAATGGGACAGAGAAAATGGATTTGTCATTGTGATTTACCTGACAGTTATTTACACAGACATTACTACTAAAGAGAATTTGACAACTTTGAACTTCAGGTTGGTTCTCTAGACCTGATGTTTACTCAGATAATTAATTAGAACATGAACAAATATCTGTGTTTCTTTCCTGAAAACACTGTCAGTGCCCTTAAAAGGGGTCCATGGCTTTGTCCTTGTTTCCATACCAACATCTTCCTTAAGCTTCCATTCCTGTGGGGGTATGCACATGTGTATGCCTGTGAGCCTGAGCCTGTACTTGTAAGCATGTGTGCACCTCTGATTGTATGCCCATGTGCACCTATGTGTATATGCATGTATGTGCAACTGTGAGTGTATGCATGTGTGCACCTGTGACTCTATGTATGTGTGCACTTGTGAATGTATTCATGTATGTGCTTGTGAGTGTATGCATGTGTGCACCTGTAAGTGTATGCATATGTGTACCTGTGTGTATGCATGTATATGCACCTGTGAGTGTATGCATGTGTGCACCTGTGAATGTATGCATGTATGCACCTGTGAGTATATGCATGTATGTGCACCTGTGAGTGTATGCATGTGTGCACCTGTGAGTGTATGCATGTATGTGCACCTATGATGTATGTCCGTGTGCACCTACGTGTATACGCATGTATGTGCACCTGTGAGTGTATGAATATGTGCACCTATGTGTATATGCATGCATGTGCACCTGTGAGTGTATGAATGTGTGCACCTGTGAATGTATGCATGTGTGCACCTGTGATTGTATGCCCATATGCAACTATGTGTATATGCATGAATATGCACCTGTGAGTGTATGCATGTATGTGCATCTGTGAGTGTATGCATTTGTGCACCTGTGAGTGTATGCATGTGTAAACCTGTGAGCATGTGTGCTTGTGGAGGCCAGATGTTGACATTTGTGTCTTCTTCAATCACTCAACCTTTTTTTTTTTTTTTTTTTTTTTTTTGAGAAAACGTCTTTCACTGATCTGGAGCTCACTGATTTGCTAGGCTGGCTGGCCAGTCAGCCCCAGCAAGCCATCTACATCTGACTCCTAATACAGGAAATACAGGTGTACATGGCCAAGCCCAGACTCTACACAGCTGCCAGATACTGGTTTAGATCCTGGTTCTTTCGTGGCAAGCACATGACTCCTGAGCCACCTCCCCAGATCTTCAGTTCCTAATTTAAAGCAGTATCATCACTGTCTCTCTTCCAAGAGTGGCTCACCCTGTAGCGAGGCCCTGCCTCCTGAGCCAGGATACTGTTCATCACTCTCCCCAAAGCACAACATTCACAAACTCCCATAGCTATATGGTATATCTTTAACTCTTTATCTACAATAATAATGAAATCAATATTTCCACACCATTCTCTCAAGTGCCATGGGCACTGAGGACATTTTCTGACTGCTTACACATAGAATTGTGGCTTTTGATTACTTTTTCAGACAGTGTTGTGTTTAGAGGTCAAATACTCCCCAAGTAAACATACATCTTCTCCAGCTCTTCTCTGAGGCCCTGTGCTTTCAGCTACTTAATATTTCATTTGTCTGAATTCTCTTCTCACTGCTATTTACTAGTCCTTCCTGGGTAATGTAATAAACTGTAATAGTTTCAAATTGGTCTCCAGTGTTTTGTCTTTTTTTTTTTTTTTTTTTTTTTTTTTTTTGCCTTTCCCACCACACAGACACATAACCTGTCATCTAATAATGTCCCTCTTCCTTATTACACTCCTTTCACTGGGTTTCCCAAACCTTCATAAAAGACCCCAAGCTGTGGATTATGGCAGACCTTGTGGTTCCAGTCTGGGTCCCTAACTCTTCCCTGCTTTTGTCATAATGTCCCCTGCCCCAAACATTGGGCTGAGCTGCAGACTCTCTCCCTAAAATCCTTCTTACATAGGGTGTCCTAGTGTAGCTCAGGAGGGCCTGGAACTTTCCATGTAGACCTGGTCTTGAATGCTCAGCCATTTTCCTGTCTCTGCCTACTGAGTGCTGGGGTTACAGGTGTGTGCTACCAGGTCCCATCATAAAGTACCAGTCCCTCAGCTCAGCACCTTTTAACCTTTTCTGGTCAGGCCCCACTTAATCTGTAAATGTAGCTTCAGTAAGCCATAAGTCATCCTTTTATCACCTGCCTTGATCTTCAATCTACGGCACCAGCTACCCTGGATTATAATTGTTTTTTCTTCCTACAAACTAGAACTCTAGGAACAATCGTTTTACTTTTAGCCCCCCCCTCCCCCATCACTGTACTGCTTCATAAATAATACACCACAAAAAAAAAAAAAAAAAAAGCAGAACCGGCACTGGCCACAAGAAGCTATTTTTTAACCTTGGGTCATTCTTACTTAAGGAAGTGTCAGTCATAGGTCACAACGGGCGATTCCAAATGCAAGGCTACATGGTGGAAGATAAAGATGTCAGCAAACTGAGCCACCACACCTTAATCATGAGGCAAAGGAAATCATGTAAGTGTGGGATAGCTGGTGACAGCAAATGGTGGTAGAACCGAAGCTTAAATCCCACACCACTGTCTCTTTTCTTGTGTGGCCATCACCACTCAACAGGAAGTCAAGGGCCATCCTCGAGTGATGATTGCCATGAAAATGTATCTAAAAAGTGCCTTTTTTATTATTCGGTGAAATCAGAAAAAATACAGACACGACCACACCCATCTGAAGCTGATAACTTTGCTGTTTGAGTGAGGCAGTGTCTGTCCTCTACCCCCATGTCCCAAAAAGTTTGCAGCAACTATGTCCTAAAATTGATCTTTACAAGCAGAGGGAACTTGCTCATAAAGTCCCAGCTGGAGTTTAGTCATTGTATTGGACAGCTGTCAAGCACACCGGACATGTAACAAATAAAAAATTTATAAGAGCAAATTTTAAACATCTGTAAATTTTTGTTTAGCATTTAAAATGATAAGAGTTAAGCTTGGCATTGTGATGAATGGCTGTAATCTTGGCACTCAGGAGTTTGAAGCTGGGAGAGCACAAGTTTGAGGCCCATGTGGCCTGCATAGCAAAATTCTACCAAAAAAAAAAAAAAAAAAAAAAAAAAAAAAAAAAAGAAAGAAAGAAAAAGGTGAATGAAAACTAAAATAAAATGTAGTTCCAAATATTATAAAGTGGATATTTATTTTCTCAAGAGATTATGAACTCTATAAAAATGTGCATTATAGCACAATTTGCTTGTGTCATAAATATGACTTACTTAAATGCTCTCTTTTGGTTCTGGGGGCGTCTTCAGAATCATCATGCTCTAAAATTGTATATGTACATATGGCATGGGAGCAAGAAAATTGTCTAGGGTAACTAATGAGAGGGGGAGAAAGGGACGGTGGGAGCACAGGGGTAATTATGCAACTGTGCTATGTACTTGTACAAAAGCTTTAAAAATTAGATAAATCTTCAAAGGGACAGAAAAAGGTTGCTGAGGCAGCTCAGCAGGTGAAAGCACTTGCCACCAAACTGGACAACCTGATTTGATCCCTGAAAGAGAATTGCCTGTTGCAGAAACTTCTCCCAAATATACAAATTAAGTTTCCGTGAAAGGGTAATTATGTTTTTCTAAAGGCAGAAGGATGATTCTCTGAATGGGCAGCAATGAGTGGGCAATATCAGGTGTATATGAGCCAAAACCAACAGTCTACATGAATGAAATGCCATATGCTGTGTCATATATTAATTTAAAAATCAACAAGTTTGCCCTTTCCTGTTTAACTTTCCAAATATACTTAGACTCGATTGGTTGTGTCTCTATGGCATACAGCCCCATGGGCTTTAGCCATGTGCAGATTTATGTAAGCCTCAGTCAGAATATAGGTTCACCACTCCCCAAACTTGCTTGTATTATGCTTTGCTGTCTCCCAACCCCTCACCTCTGACAAAAACTGATCTGAGCTTCATTCCCATTGCTTTTGTTTTGTTTTGTTTTCTGAATTGCCATATAAACAGCATCATAAGGTTTGTAACCTTTTGAAGCTGACGTCTGTCACTCCACAATAACTTTGA